CATTTGGATACGCACAGCTAGCAGATGTCTACGATACTAGTTCGCAAGATGAGACCAGATGGGTTGACGTGCAAGAAAGCTTTTGGGCCGCGGAGACGCTCAAATATCTCTGGCTTACGTTTTCGGATGTCGAGGTCGCGAGTCTGGATAGTTGGGTGTTTAGTACGGAAGGTCACCCTTTTCGGATGATTCGCTGAGCGCGAGAATGGGGTACGATGTGGGGTAGCGAAGTGTGGGGAGGAGTATTGTGATTAGAAACTCCAGAAAAAAAAACAGAAGAATGGAGGAAAGGCCACTGTATTGTAGGTGAAAAAGGGCGCAATGATACCCGGCATTTGTGTAGTTTTAGTCGAAATGAAGGAATTCAAGAAGATTAGAGATTTTTATTCCTTCTTTGAACTTTGGACTTTTGGACTTTTTTTTTCCTATCCAGCGAACTTTTTATTTCAGTAAAATTTATTTCTCAACACTTGTGGCTGTGCCGTTTGGCTTTGTCTCTTCTGCCCAGCACTCGGCTATCTACCCACCCCCCCTTTTCCCGACCGTCAGCTCACCCGTACCCACCCGACGCTATACCACCCATTAAAATTCACCCATCATCACAAATCACACCAAAAAAAACACAATTTAAATTCATCACACGTACACACACCCCACATTATGGACTCTTTTGCAGGAGAGATTGAAAGAAAGGGGAATGGGGGGAGGACATTCAAGACGCATGTAGCGTAAACTTCGCAATCCAAACAAAAAGCAACCATAACTTTCAAAAGACGTTATTTTGGTATTCTCTCTGCATAAGAACAAAAAACAACAACAATGGGGGTGTCAAATGATGACAAGTAAATCTGTCAACCAACCAAGATAAATGATGATGCTGGGTATATATAAATGAGTAAAAAAGATCATGGAGATAGAGATGTGGAGAGAGAGAGAGAGCGCGCGAAGGAGAGAGAACTAATGGTAGGTATTTGTTTCGGCAGACAGGAAAAAAACAGATGGGACATGTCGTTAGAACGCTGGGGGAAAGGGGGGAGGGGGGGGCTAAGTTTCTACCCGATTGCCCTCTCTCATACTGCTGTCGCCGCCCCCCCTTTTTTCGTGGAAAAAAAACACAACGCGATTACGGGACCCGTTTTTTGGTAGCGGAGGAAGACTTGATTGGAAAAAAAAGGAAAAACATGTAGATGAGGAGATATAGGAGTGGCGTGGAAGACGTAAGGTATAAAGGAAAACTACCCTTTTCAAACAGTACCGAGTAAGAATTTCCAGTGAAAATCATTACTCGTCACATCGAATGAGGGGTTTACGTCACGAAGACTCGGCAGCTTCTCTGCACCATTTGTGATTCCGCCGTTGATCTTCGGGAGGGCGAGGTTATGCAGTAGCGATACTGTGCGGCCTGAGCCTGTCGAGAGCTCGAACGTGGTTCCGTTGGGACTCCCTCTGCCAGGTGCGTCGTGCAGAGCCAGACGCATAGTCGAAGTGATGCGGCGGAATCGCTCGAAGGCATCTTCTCGGTTGTTGGAGGTATCTCGTGGGCGGGGCATGAGCGAGGAGAGTTGGTCGCGGTAGTGATCGAATGTTCGTGCTAGTTGCAGCTCGCTGGGGTCCCAGCCGGGGATGGGCGATGCGTAAAGGGTGAGTTTGCTCAAGCTGGTAATGGTGTTTACAAGGTTGAGCCAGTCGATTAATGAAATGGATTCGAATTGGTTCGAGGAGAGTTTGGTGGTGTTGTCGAGGAATTGCTCGAGGGATCGCACGTACGTCACACGTAGTGACAGCTGGAACCCTGAGGCCCAAGGTGTACAGTCTCGGTCTACGAGATCGACAGAAGCGGCGATGCGGTAGAGATGTATGCGGGCTGCAAGCTGTAACCATTGCAGGGTTGCTGGTGTGCTGTTAGTGTTACTTCAATCAGGTTGTGTCTATTCAATGCTCACCAAAGTCATTCGCCTGTAGTTTGGAGGAAAGGCGAATGTTCTCCCACTTCTCGTTCAAACGATTGACTTGTGTGCGGACAACCACTGCCTGCTCTGACTGACTGCGAAATGTCTCCTCCACATCTTCCATGTACTGACAGACGTCCATCAAGATAGGGAGAACTGTGTCTGTCTTGTTTTCCCATGAAGAAGCCAATTCAGAAGCGTAATTTCGGACAGTCGTCGTGTGTGACATGGATCGTGCCTTCAGAGGCTGCATCAACCCTATATTGGAGGATAGATAGTAACATCCCAGGTAAGCCCGTTTAGCTTCTTTGTCTCTGGGGTCATCCTTGTGCAGAGGACTCCTTGCGGCTCTTGATATGTTGTCCAAACCCAGGTCATGTGCTATGCCCAGGCACAGCTGAAGAAGCAAGGTGATTGAAACGGCCTGAGCGTCCATGTAGTGCTGGTGCCAAGCTATAAACACCAACAGTCCCTGGAGCAAATCCAAACTCTTTTCGCCTTGCATGATTTTAACCATGACGACCTTTCGGAATTCTTGGCTAAGTGAGTGACGGAGCTGTGGTGAATCGTAGGATGCGGCTGTTAGTACGGCAAACAACAACATTGGGCGATTGTGGAACAGATCCTGACAACGACAGTCTCTCGGTACAATGACAAATGGAAAGTAGTCGACCATGCCACGGTAGGTATCAAGCAGCATTTGCATGTGTACCAAGCTGATGGACCTGATGAGGGGATCCAACCGGCCAAGACATGACAGAGTTTCGTTAAAAGATTCCCAAAATGGCAATGAATTTTCAGGTTGAGATCCGGGGCTTGGGAGAAGTGCAGTGGTAGGCGCAGACGACAGAGGCACTGTTGGAACAATTGCTTGTTTCGCCGTTTGGGCTTGCTGCGGCGGGTCTAGGACTGCCAGTTGGGAGGGAATAGTGACTACCGAGGGTAAACTGGTTTGAGCCGGAGACGGCGCCATGGTCGCAACAATGGCAGACAGTTTGTCCAGCTTCTTGTCAAAGTCGCGCAGTTTGCTGGGAGTCTGGCCATCAGTGCGTGCCTTTGCAGGCCGCCTGCGGGCGACATGCTCTACGCACTCTACTCTAGCCTTCTGGCACCTGGGGCACGTGTCATTGGATGTGGAGTAACAACAGCGACGAGTCAACATACCTCTGGCAAATGCTCGGAGTGTCCGAGGGCACACAGCGAACCTTGTGTTTTCGACATCTCTCGCAGGCAAAGGCGTTGCCTATCCTACCCTCCCGAACGTCCATGATGGGAGCGAGGCTGGCAGACTTGGGAGAGGGAGAGCCATCGGTCTCCGGTTGCGCCCTCGCGGAGGTCGCGCTCGTGTGGGGAAGTCCGATCATATGCCAAGTCCGGGGTCGAGGTTGCTGTGAAGAATAAAGGGCTCCAGGCGCGCGTATTGGATGGTGCCAGAAATCAATACTGCGCTGACAGGCCGGTTGGCGACACGGTAGGCCATTGCATCGAGACGCGAGAGCTTTGAAATGCGTGCAGCCGCGGGCTTGCCCATGTGGCAGTGCGAAATCGTCGAGATACCTCGGGTAGTATGGGCGTCGGCGCATCAATGGCCCGCGCTGCCGGCGGCTACATACTCCCGTCTCCAGCAAAGCCGCTCAAACGCCTCCCGACTGGTCCGAACATCCGTCCAATCCATGCCGGGGGGGGCGTGGTCAACATTGCGTCCTTATAACGTGAGCCATGTCTGGCGCAGATGAAAAGGTGACGATGATGGCCGTCAGTCCCCTGGGTACAAGCAGACGGCTCGTCCCCTAGACGCGACGCTACCACGATAGCTTCTGCCCTCGACGGCCGGCTTTGATCATGACTAACCTACTAACCACACGACAACGACATGGCATCCCAAGTCCCACGCGGCCATGCGAGCGGCTTTGCAGGAACCATCGGATGGGGCAACAGACCGGCCCTTTTGCTTGTCGACGTCTGCAATGCTTACTGGAGTGAGGATAGCCCGCTCGACACGCGGTCAAACCCTGCCTCTGCGGCTGTGCCCGCATCCATCGCAAAACTCGTCCATGCCGCCCGCCAGGGAAAAGTACCATTGATATGGACCCGCGTTGAGTATATGGAGCCTGACATGGCCGACGCGGGGCTGTTCGCCTGCAAGGTCCCGTTGCTGCATGTTTTCCAGCGGGGCAAGGAAACGGGCCTCGAGAGTTGGGTTCCGGGCCTGGAGCCTGCTGCAGGGGAAGTCGTCGTGTCCAAACGCTACCCGTCCGCCTTCTTCGGAACCGACCTCTCTACACGCCTCCAAATCTCCCGCGTGGATACTCTGGTCATCTGCGGTGTCAGTACCAGTGGCTGTGTGCGTGCAACTACTCTGGACGCAATGTGCCTGGGATTCCGACCAATGGTGTGCACTAACATGGCAATGATTGGGCCTGTGGAGACGTCGCTAACCATATTACTAGGTTGTTGGCGAGGCCTGTGGTGATAGATCACCTGCTGTCCACGATGCAAATATCATGGACATGGCCGCCAAGATGGCAGACGTGGTTTCCGAGAAAGAGGCGGTTGAGAAGCTCAGAGCTGGGTGGTTGTGAATGCATTCCGCTGAGCTCGGCCCGTCCGTCGTCTCTTCGTTTTCCGCTCTCTCTTCTTGGACGTTTATTTTAGGTTGAGAGATTGGGCTTTTGGGCAGGTATTTTGTGTCGCACAATCTTCCACGGCGGGGCCAAGTCAGCATTTAGCATGTTTAGAGAAATAGAGCAAAATCTCAAAGGTACAAGATGAAGCGCAGCCCAACGAGCTCACCAGACGCAGTGGCCTGACATGGAGGAAGGAGCCAGGCATGCCCGATGACCTGCACTTTCCTGATCTTCGCTGCTTGCTTCACATTGGCAGCTACGTGTACTTACTATACTACCCGCCAGATTGGATCGTACGTAACTTCAACTGACTCACGCCACCCTATACTGTGCCGACAAACTCCGCTACCAACACTCGCAAATACCTGGCGACGGGGTTGCCCTTCACAGTACACCACCACATGTTTGCCTTGATTTTCTCGGTATGATCAAGCGTGCCCTGCCAGTCCCCGCACCATGCTACACTCCCTATCCTGGTGCTGAGCCCATACCCGACTGTGTATGGGAATGCTGCAGATGCCGTAGGAGATGGCACACAAAAGAGATGGGCAATATATGTATCGGATGCAGCCATACATACTCAGTCGACTGTTGTCATCTTGCTCAGTAGTAATGTCAGCCTTGTGGTAGTAGTCAAGGGGGCTGCAAGGATTATGTAAGACTACTATCTACTACCTATCATCAGCGGTACTTGGCCGCCATAGCTTTCTCCGCATGAACTCGGCTGACGACAAGGCAGACCCCAACAACAACTTACTCCACTCTCAAATGTTGGTCCAAGTTTCCTTTCCTTCTACTGACCACCTTCTGACCATACTCATTTCTAGACTCCTTTGCCATATCCACTCTGTGTGCGACGTCATCTGCATGCTCCTTGCAGGTTTCGGCCATGATCTTCCCATCAGTCATAGCAAATCCTCGATCTTTCCTGACATCATTTGCCTATCATCTACCTGGCTTGACCATATTAAGCCCCAATAAATCATGTGTGGTCCTCAAGCTCGCGTACCTAGCGTCCACGGCATTTGCACCTCACCCCGACTACCCTGTCGAGAAGACTTTGTCGGTCTCCACATAGCGAAAATTGGTGCAGGAGTCATCTCATGGGCGCTCTTCCTCCATTCGTCGCCTGCATTTGGTTTTTCGGTGTCGAAGGCAATTTTCAGCAACGACTGAAAACCAAACTTTTCGTATAGCGGCTTGCCCATGGCCGACGCTTCCATCCAGCATTCCACATCGAGCTCGTCGGCACGCGCGACTCCCACATCCATAAGCAGGCAACCAATACCCCGGAGTCGATGAGCAGGATCCACTGCCATCCAATTGAGTGCTATTCGCCAATGTTAGCGACTGGAAGAAAACAACCCCAATCATTTTCCAATACGGTCGATCCCTGGAATAGCGCGTTTGGAGAAAGAAACTTATGCTCCACTTACCACAATGGGGCCGTGCCATCCAGCTCACGCGGGGCTTGTACACCTGATTCAGGATCGATTCGCAGAAACGCCGCTGTTCACCTTCAGGCCACCACGGTGCAGTCAACTTTGGTGCTCCTGCTGCGTAGGGATTTGTTGTCGAAATCACCCATTGCGCGCAGCCCACAGCTCTGTTTGTGACGGTGTCGAATGCGTAAAACCAATGGATTGACCGGTCGGCCTGGTGTTGTTCCCAGAAGCGTTGTTTGGATTCGTTGATGGCAGCCTCGCGATGAGCAGCCGTATAGCCAAGGACAGGAAATATCAGTTGAATAAAAGGTTCGTAAGGTGTGTGGTTTGCAGCCCAGACAACTTCCAAGATGCTATCCAACTCTTGCTTTGTTTTGGCTTCGCGGACAAAGTATCTTTGGCCCATGGTTGCACTTGAGTGATCAGATGAGGCTGTGGCGATATCGGACAGGTAAAGTAGTTGTCGAATACGCTACCTTGCCGCCATGGCGCATGGACAGCGGAACCGGAGATATAGCACATTCCAAGTATTGGACATCGTAGATTGCCGTGTTAGGGTGAAGACGCCCAACAAGGAAGGTACCGTTGACACTATTAGCGTCTTGGCGGGCCGGGCAAGTCACACCCTTTACACTAGCACACTTTGCCCGATAACCCCTCGCTTGGTATCACTATCATGGCCTGGAGGTGCTTGCGACCTTCCTCGATCGTACAGCGCCGGAAGACCGCCTGCTCGGCGATGTAACCGTCCACAGAGACAGATGGCGTTGCAGTTCATTCACGACCCGACTGTCGGAGCGCAATAGCTAAAGGGTTGTTTTCGCCCGACAATAGTCGTGACGTACGCCTGTACTACTGGTAACCTGGACACGTACTGCACAGCCGGCAGGATTTCTGTCTTATGAGGCCGCGTAGGTTTGGCGCTCCATGTCCATCATATGAACCACCCCAAGATGGAAGGATCTCCAGCATACCAGCCACTATGTCGCGACGAGGAAGGTAATGGCTTGCCGGAACTAGAAGCAAAAGAGAGCATTTCATGGGACTCCAACAGCACCGAGATCATTCCGACCAATACGCGCAGCTTTGTTGCATACTTGTCGCTTCTGCTACTCTCACTTTCAGCCAACATCTTGTTGGTTATGGATAACGCCAGATTGCGCATCTTACACTCTCCTACCAAGAGCGAGTACAGTAGGTACTGGGTATGAAATATTCGATGTGTGCTCACGGTCCTAAAGGCGGACTGACTCTCGATACCAACGTGCCCTATCACGCCATGACCAGGTACTGGCACCCTAATGCAAGCGATAGCGACATGGAGGCAGCATGGGATGCCATCGATACAAACGCCATGGCGGTGGCACTTGACGACAAATTTGTAGAGCGTCTCAGTCTGCCACCCTCCACTCCATTTCCATGGGACACTGAACGCAGTGTATACTATGTCAGGGGTGTACACGACCTACATTGTCTAGTGAGTTTAGCATACCTCTGCAAATACTCAAAACCGACTTTACCAGAAACTTGTTCGTAAAGCTATAGTCTCGAAACACAAGGGCAGCGAACAACCCTTCAATCTGCTACACATCTACCACTGCCTAGATATGCTACGACAAGACATCATGTGTGCAGCTGATGATACACCAATGCCAGCACCATTATCCCATGAAGCAGGCGATGGTCAGAACCGGAAGTGTCGCGACTGGAACAAATTAATCGCATGGGCGAGGCGCCCTGATCAGCATGCCTGCTACGAGTTTGATGACTATCGCGAGGCTACTAACACGCTTGAGAACTTTGCGTTTTGCCCGCCTTCATCTCCGTATCAAGGCGTTCAGCGGGCTTACTTTGAACACCACGGACACAAGGACCCATATGAGCACAACGAGAATGCAGAAGATGTGATCGTATTCTGAGTTCGCAGGCGACCCGCTCAGGAAGACGCGAATCGCTTGTGGCTTCTGTTGTTGGCTGTTTAATTCATACTAGAAGTTAGGTTTTTCCACGTTACGAACGAATACACTCGTCTTTCGGCTCTATACAAGTTCCGATGAGCATGCGACGCGATATCGATGTAGGCTACACAGCATAGTGGTTGTTAGCCACTAGCATCTTTGGATCATGGATCGGAAGATATGTATTGTCAAGTCGCTTGACCACGAAAAGAACGAGGCAGACACCCTTATCAGCATCGTCATTCCCTGTCATCACAGATCGACCGAGGTGTGGGCTTGTCCTATTACTGTGATCGATGTTCGGAGGATTTGGGGGCGAGCGCAGTGCGACTGTGATTCCGAGGCCTACGGTTTTTGAGAGCGGCTGAGGACAATGCACGTCTAATATGTTGAGAAGACCACGATTATATACGAAAAATGACGGTCCCGACATGCTAAGCTGAGGTACGTAGCGGCCAACACATATATCTTAACGCATAAAACATTAATATATACTCTTTCACACATTGCAACCTCACTCTACAATCTTTCATCGTATGAGTAAAGCGATATCCTGTAAACCCGCGCCATGCTCACATACTGACCTTTGGACAGAACGTGAGAATCCAAAGAAGCACGAATAGTACAATCTACCTACCATGCACGCCGCCACCGCCGTAATTTCGCTCATTACCTTTGTTACAAGCATCTGTGCAGCTCCCATACCTACGAAAGCGGCAGCTCGAGCTGTGCCTGATATCAGTGAAGTGGCCCGAAATCCGGCACCTATCGATAACAGAGTTCACTGGGAGGACGGAAAACCTTCGCTTGGTGATGCTGACAATGTTTCATGGGAGGATGTCCAAAAACTTAAAGAGCTTATACACCATTTATCGGGAGAAAGTGAAGCATCAAATCCTGTCACTATTGGGGGGGTCGAGACTTCTGTCAAAGACCATGTCAAGTTTCATTCATGATGCTTGATTCACATGGGCAAACTTACTGACAGAAGTTGAAGGTATATCATTTTATTTTCCATAGTACGATGTATTTGCTAATTGTATTCAGTGTTTTTTCCACGCGCTCCATATCAAGTAACTTGCATCCAGTACATACTCCGGAAGCGCAGTATGCTGTACAATATGCTCTTTGGTCACCAAGTTAAGAGAATAACAACAGTTGTATCTAAGAGCTACGTTAGTCACTTTATCCCAACATGCATCCCTTCGAAATTTGACAAGCAGAGCGTATCTACCTTGACAATGTTCCATGACATTCTCCATGTAGGAGTTTGTGAGCAGCCATCTAGTGTGGAGCGCCACCGCTGCAGCGGTGACCGGATCTCAGCCTAGCACATCAATGGATCACTGCAGCAAATGTGCGCTGGCACATGTGTCACAATGTCAGCACCTGGTCGTCTTACTCAACTTCCCGGTAACAGCTGCCGTGACACAATGCCGAGAATTGTGTGCTACAGGGTTACATAACGATCAACAAGCTTAAAAGCAGGTCACCAAGCCTGTCAAAGCTGGCAAGCCCAATAACACGATAAGGCTGCCCATACTAACGACTGGGGTATAATCTGATTTGCTAACCCAACCTGACTCACCTGTTCATCTGACCAGGTAACACAAACTAACATACAAATGGGCATTCTGGTCGGCGATCGACATAGTGCTCCATTCGTGCATATCACTCTGTCGCCTTGTAACGCCTGTGCAACGCGATACAACTGCGTCTCTACATCTGGGATTTGTACACACTTGTTGCTATTCTGTCAATCTTCTGTCTTTCTTGTTTCGCCACTATAGGTGTCTTGTATTGTGAACAGACAGCGGATAACTACTTTGTGCGATATGTTGGCTTTCGGCTTTCCAATCGCGCATTGTCGCCCATTTGGCGGCTCGCAGCCTGACTTTGTTTGCGCGCCTGTGTCGCTCCAAGATGAATGGATAGACGCATTAAGGCGTTTGATAGCCACGCACACTTGTTGTCCGAATGTGTTGGCTGTCACTGGTTGACTGACGTCTCATCTGTCTCAACTGAGACTGCCACAGTGCCAGCCACAGTTGAGTAGTCGTTCGTCATCGCTACCGCTTATTCCCTGATATTGCAAGCTTCCGGTGTCTCATACTTCTTTAACGAGGACGGGGAGAGCGCAAGAATGGCAGTGCTGCCTTTTACTTCTTCCCGTCGCCCCATCCCGCGGCGGCCGGGAAGCGGCGCGGATGTCGGACCGTTCGTCAACGTCGTTACCTGGACCTTGCTGATTACTTCCGCACTTGCAGTTCTAACTAGACTGATTACGAAGCGTGCTCTCCGGAGGAGGATAGATATTGACGATGCTTTTGTCATGCTGGCTCTGGTACGTTGTCATTGATGCATCGCCTCGCTTGTTGGCCTGGCTCATAGTACTGATGATGTATGTGAACTAGGCCTCAAGCATAGCATCAGGTGGGGCCGTCAGTCTTCAGACGCATAATGGTCTTGGGAGGGACATATCGCTACTTACCCAGAGTCAGCTGGCGGTGTATCGAAAAGTAAGGCATGCCGTCAGATTAATTATTGGGTCAATGGTGTGGTAACTGTGGTTTAGGCCGAATATGCAAACAACCTTCTCTACATCGCAACTTTGGGATTTGCGAAGTTGTCTATCATCTCGCTGCTCATGATTCTCACGGCGTCAAAAACCCATCGAAATCTCGGTCTATCGCTGGCTGGCTTCATTGCACTCTGGACGGTGTTCTCAATATGTCTTGCAGCTTTCCAATGCGGAACCACTGAGCCATGGCGCTTCTTAGGGAACGAAGAGATGTGTTTCAACATTGTATTTTCGAAGCTCACCATCATATTATTCCTTTATTTCTGACAAGTTGATAGGTCTCCTTTTGGCGTTCGGTTGGTGCGATCAATATCCTCACTGACCTGGCACTTACTGCTTTTCCCGTGCATGTCGTCATGACACTGCAAATGAGCATGAGTAAGAAGATAACTATCCTTACCTTTTTCGGTGCACGTTCGTTGTATGTTTGATGAATTTTGTTCTACAGTAAATCTTTTAGCTTACATATCATAGAGACATCGTCGCGACTGCCGTCCAAATGGTCTACCTCGACGGCTTCACCTCGCCCAATCCTACCAAGGCACTCTGGAAATGGACGCTCCTCGCTCAGATTATTGAGTGCATCACCATCATTACATCATGCGTACCATACATACGACCCCTCCTTGAGTCGGTTCCATCAGGTTTATATGCGAGTGACGATCTACGCCGTCGAGGTACATCGTCTGAGCATGGGGTCTCCCGCAGTAAAAACAGCTCCTATCAGCTATCTAGTATCGCCTCCAGATTCGGTACCGGGATTACGAGATCAAGTAGAAAGAGCCTCCATGCTGAAAACACTGGAATCAAACGCTTCTTGCCAATGTTTTCACAAGACAAGACTACGCATGCAAATTCTGCTTCTGGGATACCTGGGGGTCCGAGACGCTTGGATGGCGCAACCGATGTTGAAATTACAGCTGTGCATCATAGAAATGTGGACGACAAGAGTTGGGAGACTGCGAGCACAGGAAGTCACTCTAAGATCTTGAAGACGATGGTTGTTAGCGCCGAGTGGGAAGAGGCGGAAGTTAAGGGGCACGATGGTTCGAGCGACGAGATTGAAATTATGCATGGAGGCTAGCTTGAAGTATCAGTCATGAGATTTCTTATCCTACTAATCTATGGACATGATATGAAAAAATCCAAAGCCTGAAATTCCCAGAAAGATACAACGCATTTCTATAGTATCATCTGGAAGTAGAGACTCATAATCTCTATCATCAAAATCCGACGATTTCCAGTCACTCAAATCCCAGATGTAAGCGTCATATCCACAATCTCAACTTCCAATCAGCTGTACCGCTTCATCCATTCCACCACATGCTCCCCGTGAACCCACCACCCCTATCTCCTCTGCCAACACTCACTCATATTCCCGGCAATTTGTGTACAACACGACCTATCTCTCTCAACCACCCCTCGTTAATCAAGCGTAACACCAAACAACCCAACCTCCCTCCCTTCCCTTCCCAGCACCCACATGCACAATCAACCCTCAATCCCTCCCAATCCCAGCCTTACGCATCATCCCAACACCTGTCCTGCTCCCAGTCAACAAAACACACACCCCCCGTACCACACCCTCGCACACAACAAAAAAAAAGCAAACCCCATAAGCCCGAGTCCCGCACTCGCTATGCAGTCCATGTACCGGCCGTGGCACACGCACGGCAGTACGTTGTATGTTCTACGGCGCCGTACGTGGGCACAACCCGGGTGACTGCGTTTCACGCAGGTTCCCGTGTGGCAGGGTAGTGGAACTGTGGTGTTAAGATATGTGGGTGGGTTGGTTGAGGCGGTTGAGGCGGATGGTGTAGGCGGGATGGGTGAGACATTTGGGTTGGCGGGTGGAGGAAGGGAAGGGAAGCTGGGGGGTGGGCGGCGAATTAGGTTGGTGGATGCGGTTTTTGTGTGTGGAACTGTTGGTATGGATTTATGGTGGGTAGGGAATTGTTTCTGTGTGTGTGTGCGTGTGTGTGAGGGTTGTAGCAGGGAGGCTTTTCCACGTGAGGAATGGGGTGCCTATGGATGGGTGGGGAGTATGGCGTTTGGTAGGATCTAGGTTTCCTTTTGTGCTGAGATATTGAGATGCTTGGTTGGGAATCTTGATTCAGGATTACGTTACTGGGAAGTGTGTGGAGGGCTGTTAGGGCTTGGGTGGCATTGGTATTACGGTTGATTTTTCTTATGCTACAAGTCGTTGTGACTAGTGAATACAGGCCTTGTAGGTCGAGTAGACCACGATGATGTATCGTGGGTGAGGTTACAGTTACACGCCGCGTAAGATATGTTTCTCCCATCTAAAACAATACGTAGTATAGTAGTCCAACAAAAACTACACTAAGCACATAAACCCCCTCTCCACAGATTACCCCTGCACAGCACCCAGAACCCTGCTCTTCCCTCCTCCCACCCACAATCCACCCATACCATCCCTAAACCTCCAAAAAGACGACCAAAATACACATCACTCCTTCTTCCCACACCGGAACAAAAAAACTCCTCGGCCCATTACTCAAATAGGAACCCCACAATGCACACCACCGCATTCCGCATCCCCCTAGCACCAACCCCACCTACCATCGTACTCCGCACATTTGGCTTCCCCCAACCAACCAATCACATACCCCTGTAACCCCCCAAGAGCGCCAGTAAGGGTGTGTTTCCTGCAGTGTAATATGTCGAGTACCCGCCGTCACTGCAACCAGCCTCCGTACGGTACGGCACGGACAGAGGGTTATTACATTTGCGCGGCTTTAACGCAAAATACACTCACATGCACTCATACGTTACGTACTCCATTCTACCTCTTCTTTTTTTTCCACTTTCGACTGTGTTCCCCTTACTATCAAGCCCTTTTTTTTTGTGTGGAGTAAGTAAGGAAGTAGGTAGTTTGCAGAGTCGGTGACCGACGGAAACCGACGGAGCGGCGTTGCATGCGTGTATAGATGTACATGGATGTATTCTGTTTTTCCAAGGATTCGTATTCTTTTCACCCGTTTAACCCATCCCCCGACACGCGCTGCAACGAGTACATGGGCGCTGCTTGCTGCGGTTTAGTGGCTGGTTTTGCGAGAGAGGCGAGGACGTGGATTGAGATTGGGCTGCATTTGGGTGATATAGTTTGGCTTTGTGTGACGGATCCGTGCTTCCATTTCTTTTGGGGCTAGTAGGGGCGTGGGTTCTAGAGGGTGAGTTTTGGCGGTCGTGTTTTTGGGGAGGTGGGCTGGTTGCGGGTTAGGTGAGAGTTGGGAGTTGAACTTCTATACTTTTTTATTTGGGCTTGGTGTGCAGATTTTAGTGGGGTTATACGGTACCTACGTACGGAATTTGCTTTGTTAACTCCTTTTCTGGTCTATCTTTCGTCTATCTCTTGTCAGCTGCTGCGGAGAGTTTGCCTGGTTTATCGCGGCTTCCTGGCGCCATGGAGAAGCGGATTCATCTCCAGAATATCGACGATGAGGGTGTGATAAGGCCGAGAGAGAGACGCTTGGTGTCGCAATCCAAGGGTCAGGAGTTTGATCGCGATCGGTATGAATTGGCAAGAGTGGGAAAAGAGCAGGTGTTGAAGGTAAGCGACCTACTAAGCAGTCGTGCATATTCCGATCTGATTTATGACAGCGTCGCTTTGGGTTGGTGTCAATGACCGGTCTGTCATGCGGCTTAATGTGTACTTGGGAGACGCTGCTCGTGTAAGTTTATGCGTAATTGCATACGAAAAGGATATTTTTGTGCTGACGCCAGCTGCTATACTACTAGTGTTTTCTCAATAGGCTTCAACAAGTAAGTAAGACACCTCGGTTACGCATTGCATACTTGACGGTAAACTGATTGTTATGGTTTAGCGGCGGACCTGCCGGTCTTATATACGGCTTCATCCTTATCTGGCTCGGTAACTTCTCCGTCTTTATCTGTATTGGGGAGCTGGCTAGTGCGGTACCGACGGCTGGAGGTCAATACCATTGGGTGTCGCTGTTGGCACCGCGATCGAGCAACAAGTTCTTCAGCTATGTGACAGGTAAGCTCGTTCTGGGGACATTTCCAGCAAACTCCTAACTCTCACAGGCTGGCTCACGGTAATTGGATGGATTGCAGCTCTAACTTCTGTATGTTACTTTGTTGCCGACCTCATCCTACAACTCGTCAGTTTGAACGACGTCAACGGGGCTTATGCGCGAGAAGGATGGCACGGAACGCTTCTTCTGTGGGCTCTACTACTTCTCTGCGTCTTCATCAACGTATTCATCAGCGGTGCGCTACCCACCATCGAGGTTCTTGTACTGATCGTCCATATCCTTGGGTTCTTTGGCATCCTCATTCCACTGGTTTACCTGACGCCAGCCCACAACTCAGCCAAAGACATCTTCTCGAAATTTCATAATGAAGGCGCGTGGAGTACCCATACACTGGCGTTTTTCGTCGGCCTGCAAGGCAATGCCTTAGCTTTTGTCGGAACAGACTCTGTCGTCCACGTAAGTAGAGACAAACCCAATGTTCCAACTCTTTTCATGTCAATAACGACCAAAATAGATGTCTGAAGAAGTTAAAAATGCAAGCACTGAAGTCCCCCGTTCCATGCTCCTCAGTCTCGCCATCAATGGCACCCTAGCCCTAGGCATGCTCTTCGCCGTCCTCTTCAGCGCCGACGACATCCCACGCCTACTCCAAGACCAAGACGCCCAAACCGCCCCCTTCCTCCGCATATTCCACCACGCCGTCGGTTCAAAAGCCGGCGCCACAGTCATGGTTTCCATCATCGTGCTACTCGAATTCTGCAGCGCAATGGGCTGTCTAGCCGCCGCATCACGTATGACCTGGTCTTTTGCACGCGACCGCGGCCTGCCCTTTTCGCGAGCCCTAAGCATGGTACGTAGTCTTTTGCCCTCCTTATCAGCATAAAATGTAAAACTTACAAAAAAAAACCCCCAGATCGACAAACGCAGCACCATCCCCGTCATCTCCATCCTCATCGTAACCCTCTTCGCCGCCCTCCTCGCCCTCATCAACATCGGCAGCAGCACCGCCTTCAACGGCACAATCTCCCTCGTCCTCGAAGGCTTCTACCTCTCCTACCTCCTCGCCGTCGCTCTCCTCCTCTGGCGCCGTCTCCGCGGCGACCTCGACGGCGATATCTCCGACACAGTAATGCAAATCCACCCACAGATCCACAGCAATACACAAGTGCACGAAAAAAGAATGTCATGGGGCCCCTGGCGTCTCCGCGGCGCACTGGGCGTAGCGAATAATGTAGTTGCGATTGCGTATCTCTGCCTCATTATTTTCTTTAGCTTTTGGCCTACGCAGGCGAATCCCGATTTGCAGGGTATGAATTGGGCGGGGGTGGTGACGGGGGGTGTCGCGGCGTTTAGTGTGCTGTATTATGTGTTGCTTGCGAAGAAGACGTATACGGGGCCGGTGGTTGAGGTTGATCCGCGGGCGTTGTGAGGAGGTGGGGTTGTTGTTGTTGTGGTGGTGGTGGTGGTGGTGGTGGTGGTGGTGGGTGTGAAGAGAGATTGATATATTGTAAGATTGGATATGGATTCATCACTGTGGTGGGGACAGAGAGTGTTGACTGAGAATGGGCGAAGTCATTCTTTTGGGTATTTTTTTCAAGAGGCAGTTTGTGCTTCTTTTGCAAAATGGGCAGGATAGATAAAGGGTTATCTTCACTTGGTGCTTTAGTAATGTACAAAATGGCATGTGCATCTCACACCTTACTTCATTAGTGCCATTCGCTTGACTCTCATAGAACGATGCATCTAGCAGGCCAATCATGTAAAAAAACGTTATAATTAATCGTCGACATTCGTGATATTCGTTAAAAGTTCTCTTTAATCGTACACAAATTTCGTCTTTGCTCATCTCTGGACGTGTCGTAGACACCCGTTATGAGCATTACCTTTATCGTGTACGCCATTCGGATCAACCGAGTAAGAAAAGGAAAAAAGAAACCCCGTGGTATATACAAAGGAAAAAGGAAGAGAATCTCTCAACATCTAGCCGTAAATAAAAAAATTGTAGCCCATGATTACTCCAGAAAGTTCCAAAAGGGTCGTCCGAGTTCGTTGGGTATATCATTAA